TGCCCGATTTGACACAGGGTCTTAATGAGTAACCCTGGCTGATCTGGAACATGTTACATAGATCAGGTTGGCCCCAAACATACAGAGATCTGCCTGCCTCTCCTTCAATTTAAGGTATGTACCACCACACCCAGCTAAGTGGAGACCTATTTTCACATTAATATACTTCAATCCAGCAGAACACAAGAGATAGCATCCTGAGAACTAGATCAAACTCTGTAGATATGCACCCTTTGGATGTCAAGTAACTCGAGTCTCTGGAAGACACATACGAAAGGACAATGTAAAAAAGATTTCTAAATCAAGCATGAGCATTTCCACTATATGCAGCCCGGGAATCATTTATCCTGCTTGTTTTCTGTATCTCTAAAATAGACCAAAACTAAATAAATAAACAAATAAATAAATAGCTGGCTCACAGCTTTAAGGGTCGCTCATTTAAACCCTAATTTGTTCTCAAAATTGTAGTCTCTCAGCAAGGCATAGTGGTACCCACCTGTAATCCCATAGCAAGCTGTAAGACAACCAGGGTTACATAGTGAAACCCAGTATCAAAAATGCAAAACAAACACTTTTACAGATTTTACAAAAGTAAAATAACCTATACATCATAGATCTACATCAAAATATTAAAAATTCAAGTGAGGGGTAATGTGGTCAAGAGGAAAAATTCTAGCTGAAATTTGCTAGATGCATTTTAAAAAATCAGATTTAAAGATATATTGAAGCATCTTACCTAACTTTCCTAAGAACTATGATAGTCAAACTAGATAATTATATAATCAATGTGGCTCAGAAACAGAACACTTGCCCAGTATGTGCCAAGGTCCTGGGTTTGATTCTCAACATATCAAAAACAAAACACATAGACTAAAGAATTCTGCCTCTGTAGGGAACTCTGGGCCAGGTACGAGGGAGGAAAAGGTGGGAGAAAAGCAAACAAAAAAAATCCCACATCAACCAGCTTAAATCTAGTAGGTCAAGGCTAAGTATTGTAAATACAATTACCTTCTGAGCACTGTATGTCACCTTCCACTAATGTCTGTGGCCATGCAAAGTATAAAACTAGAAATACAGATCCAAATACTTCACTCAGAAGCAAAATGGTAAAAATACTGTATTGAGCAAAATGGTAAAAATACTGTACTAACATTCTTTCCAAAGTTTCAGACAATTCTCAAGAAGTTAGTTACCTGCTTTCCAACAGGTAAAGCAGCAAATTAAGGAGGAAAAAAATGGGGGAAATCACTAAAAGAGATGCAAGAAATGAGGAAACAGAAGAATCTACCATCTTTCCAAACGTGTTGTTGCTCTGACTCTGTGGACTGGGAGACAGTCAGTCACTGACAACCGCTAATCCAGCCACTGTTTTGCTTGAAGCTTATTTTCTTGAGAATCTACGAAATACTCCACATACAGAAAGTACCAGCTATGTAAATAAAACCAAGACAAGTCCTATATGTTGCTAGCGCTCAGACCTGTAGAGGTTATGGTGGAAGAGAGGGTTGTTAGGTAAATGAAGAGCCACTGAGACATACTCAATAATGGTAAGGCAGAAGAACTGGAGTCAAGAAAGAGTTCATGAAGAAGATGACACCAAATTTTGAGTTCTCAGTAAGTTTACCAAGCAACAGAGAAGTGACACTTAACTCTTTGAACACACATACAGACACATGCAAACACATGTTTATGAATGAACAGCAAAACTTTTGGAGGTAAGGGGCTATGTTCAAAATAGTTAACATAATCTAAGTTAGATTATGTTAGACCTTGAGTTTGATTATAGACACTTTGTGTCTAGCAAAGGCAAACTCTAACAGCTCGGTTTTGTATTTGCATATTTATTAGCCATGCACCCATATCAAAGTTCAGATAATGTAAACCATTTTATCACTTCATAATGTAGCATTCCTCCCCTATGAGTTATATATCAAAGTATCTGCATCTTCATTTCAGAGAAAAAGCTATCAGAAAACATAGTACAAATTCTATTTCTAAGCCAGGGATTGAGGCAGGCAGATCTCTGTGAATTCAAGGCCAGCCTGGTCTACTGAGCCAGTTCCTGGACAGCCAAGGCTACACAAAGAAACCGTGTCTTGAAAAAAAACAAAACCAAGCAAAAAAATAATTCTATTTCTAAAACATCCCTGGTATTGATGAATAAGCTTTATCAGCATGATATGTCCTAAGTGTTGAAACCTTTAAGTAAAAATCAAAGGACACTACACAGAGTAACTAGATAAACAAGAAAAAAATACTATTACTTACATTGAAGAGTTCAACAAATTGATCTAAGGTAAAAATAATAAGGTATTTTTATGACCTTAAATACTGATTTTCCTCATAGTTCTTTTCAAAAATAAATTTTTCTACAGTAGATGCCAACTTGAGCACAGCTTTTCCCCATACTGAAAATGTTACTATGAAAGTCAATTCCTTCAGATATCAACGGTAGACCTCATTCTTGTTCAGGAAGAACAGTTACCTGAATCAACAAGAACTACTTCCATCATAGCACCAGAGCTTTTGATCCATTACTATATGCAATCCCATTCAAATTACAGTACAACTCTGATTAATTCTGCCCCTAAAATTGCCCAACCTGGTACCTTGGCTTACTGTGCTTTGTGTTACAAAAATCTACTAGAGGGGCTGGAGAGACAGCTCAACAGTTAAGAGCACTTGCTGCTCTTCCAGAGGACCTGAGTTCAGCTCTGAGCCTCCATTACAGGAGGTTCTTAACTAACTCCAGTTTCAGGGGTCTGCGCCTCCAGCCTCCAAAGACACTTGCACTCACATGCATACTGTCCACATGCAAGTTCACACAGCTGCTCATAATTCAATTTTTAAAATACCACTAGAAGTCCAGATATAGTTAAGAGTATCACTTCCTAAACTATCATTAGACATGAAGTTTTCTTCCAATATCTACTCAAACAAGCACATGGACCTACAGTCTGCTTTTAAGTGTGTGCTCTCAAGATGAACTCTCCACAGTGAATTTATCAAGGTTTTTATTATATGTAGCTATTTGTGTGGATACCAACAGAAGCAAACTTAGGGAGTTGTTTCTCTTGTTCTACCATGTGGATTTTAGGTATCAAACACAGGTCAGGTAATCAGACTTGGTGACAAATGCCTTTACCCAGTGAGCTATGTCATTCATTTCACAATTAAAATTTTAATCAAAAGATAATACTTAACATCACTCCAAGAGAGCACAGAATTATAAACTGTTATATATACTGATTGTTACTATCTACTCATGTTTATTTACACAGAAAGGCCAAATTTCCCAATAAAAAAAGGAAATGACTGTACTACCTCATGGAGTGTAAAAAAAAAATTCTATAATGGTCCATTAAAGTTTAGGTATTGCTAATATCAGCACCTACTTAAATATAGAACAGGGTTACCAGTATTTCCCATTTGCCAATAATAGGATATATTTGCTTTTGAAATTTCAAATAAAACTAAGGCACTTCTGAGAAACCAAAAAGTAAATTAAGCATCCACCTTTATATAGGGAAAACAGAGGTAATTGTCTCTTTTAGGGAGCATATCATTTGTAATTTTATTTCATTTTCAAGATCAGATAGTTCTCAGATGAATGGGATACAAACTGCTCACACAGGCATAATTTACTTCATTTTCCATCATACAAATTTATTTTGAGAAACTGATTTTTAAAGGCTGTGTTTACTGCTTTGTTAACGTGCACATGACTCTCAGTCCCTAGGATCTGATAAGGTTACAGATACCTCTAGACTCTATCACTAGAACCACAAAGTGCTCTGCCAACACACTCACTGCCCTAACTTCTATGTATTAATAAAGCATTAACAGGAATACAAAAAAAAAATGTGAAATACATTTTTATTTCTGATCTAGAACTAAAAACTACTTACCAAACCCGAGCCCACCCCCCCAAAAAAAAAATCACTGAAAAAATGAAAAGGTTCCACTTTAAAATTAAGAATCTTCCAAAGTCAAAGTGAAAAGTGGAAGAAATTGTCTCTTTCTGGGCATTTTGAACTTCTCCTTTAGATTTAAGATAACAACAACAAAAACTAAATAGGAGAAAGCAGCATACAGTCCTTATTAATGATCTTGAACCATTAAGAAATATATCGCTGGGCAGTGGTGGCACACAACACTCGAGAGGCAGAGGCAGGTGGATCTCTGTGAGTTCGAGACCAACCTAGTCTACAAAAGCTAGTTCCAGGACAGCCTCCAAAGCCACAGAGAAACCCTGTCTCTAAAAATAAAAATAAAATAAAAAAAATCAAAATAGTTCAATGCAGACAGACATTTCAGTGTATGGGATTTTTAAGGAACACTTCCAACCAGGGATAAAATTACCTTACAAAATTACAAAGGATGAATCCATTGATGTTTGGAAAGAGACTGTTGTCAAACATACCAAACATTCCCAAACATAAACTTGCTATGAAAGTGTATACACTTTTAAATTGCTACCCCACTCCACAAAAATTATCCCCACTTATTTGTTTGGGAAGAGAAATCATTAGGGATACGATTCCCTATCTCTAAAATGTCTTACTATGGAGAATAACAGAAAATGTATTCAATTTTGAACATTAAATATGCCCTCCCTTGTGAAAAGACTGGTTAACTCTGTACCATACTTTCTGCCATTTGCCAAGAACCTAAGGATCATATTGCTGTATTTTATTAGGAACTGTCCAGATGATTAAAGAGAATTCTTTGACCAAGAATTTTATGAAAATGAAGCAAAACACCCTTAACACTTGGTTTTCCAGATGTTGAAAAGTGGAGATGTCGCCTAGAATTTCCAAGAAAGTGGTACCCGTTACGGAAGTTTTTTTGGAGGCAATAACGTACTAATAGGGCCTAAAGTAAATGCAAAAGAACAAAACCTCCGAAATAATCTTACAAAAACAAAAAATTACAATTAGCTTTTTCCTCAGGGCCTACAGATAACAGGAGTTGTAAACTTTCTCCTGGGCAAACAGTACCTCAATTAAGAACTACCGGGTTTCTTTTAAGCCGACTTATTTCTTCTATGCAACTTTGAAGTTAAGACCTAAGACAGCAGAAGGTGGAGAGAGGAGAGGCCCCGGCGGAAGTAGAAAACCAGGGCTTGCGACTTCACAGACAGAAGTGTCTCGGGTTCCTCCGCCGCCCCAGGACCATCAGAACACTCCCGTCTCTAGACCACCGGGGGAAGCTTCCCTCTCCGGGTACTAGGGCGGCGGCAGCAGCGGCGGCAGCAGCAGCACCAGCGGCAGCAGCAGCAGCAGCATCGTAGTTGCTCTCCTCCTCCCTCCACCTTGCAAGGGCCTTCGGTATCCCAGGGCCTGGAGGCTCCTGAGGCCCGTTAGCCAGCCCCAGGTCCCCATCTTTCTTTCACAAACAAAAACACACAAGCGGCGGATGCTGCGCGTGTATTGCGAGAACGTGAGGAGTCAGGGACCGGCAGCTGCTGGGAACCT